ATAACTTGCACTGCCACACATACCTGCAATAAAATCAGTAGCATCACTTAAGAGTAATGTGTAAGAAACTATATTCTCCTAGAAGCAAAAGCAGAATACAGAGGAGCCAGATCTTTGACTGCTGCTCATTAAACAATTGATTAAAGCCCTGACTATGCAGTATTCCATAAGGCACAAAGCATCTGCCTCTCTAAAGTCATTGGTTCAAGAACTTAAAGAGAAAAAGGTCAAATAGATTCTACTGTTTCTGTGCAAAAGAAATTATTTTACCACATGCAGCAGCTAAAGAGTTAATAAACCAAATCTTCTTAGGACCTGTCTCTCAGAATGAAATTACTACATTTGGTCTTCAGCATAGAATCAGTTCCGGGGAATTAAGTCTTGGTCTCATAAGGCATTAGAAATAGAATGGCTGCACTTCACACTGCCAATGTTTTAAGAATCTGTACTCACCCTCTGGGTGATGCTCTTTCCCTCTTTGACTTGCACTGCCAATCCAAGATCAGACAGTCTGCAATTCCCATTATCATCCAGGAGGACATTCTCTGGTTTCATATCCCGGTACACAATTTTGATGGAATGGAGATGCAGAATCCCACAGGTGATCTGAGCTGAGTAAAAGATGATCCTTTTCATTTCCAAACCCCTTTCTCCCACATTGTAGATGTGATACTTCAGATCCCCTCCATTCATGAGGCTCATAACAAGACACAGATGGGTTTTGGTCTCATAGGCATAAGCTAGTGTGACTATGAAAGGGCTGTTGACCTTCTCCAGGATCTCTTTCTCCAGCAGTGCCATCTTCTCTCCACTTTTCTTTTTCAACCTTTTTTTATCCAGTTTCTTGCAGGCATACATCTTGCCAGTATTTTTGACCTGGATGGCACAAACCTAGAGAAGATGCACATGGAAAGGTAATGAAGGAATTTTACACAGAGAGTGGAATATTAAGGGTAGTGACAGGCAGGAACTGGGGAATCACTGATGCCCATCAGTAGCTGCTGATGCTAACTTCTATGAAGAATATATTAGCACAGAAAACAAGAAAAAACAAGTGCACAATCAGTTCTGTTCTGGACCAGTAGTTTATCGTGGCCCTGAGGCAAAGTTCTTGAGGATGCCACTAGAAGGCATGTATTAGTAAATAAAAGGAACAAGAACAAAAATCTGTAACCATGAGAATAAGCAGCATATACAGATTGCATCTGTACAGTTAAACTCTCTTGACTCTCAAAAAACTTCCATACTGTAGTTTGGGAACAGATCCTGATGTGTGCTTTTCCCTAAACTGCAGCTAGGAATTATCTGGGAGCATGTGAGATAGCACAGGCTAAGATGATGTCAAGGAGCAGACTTAGTTCACTACATGAACATTCATGCAAGTTTTTGTAAAGAAGCCTGCTTTTTTAACTAGCATAGATACAGAATATAAAAATGTTAAAGTAGCTTTTTACTAACAAGTGCCTCTATCACAAATATAAATAACCCAGCCTGATTTCTGGAAAAGGGGCGATCTGAAGGGGCACATTTTACAAATCTTCATAGAGTGGCTTAATCCACTGCTCTTTGCAAACCCACCTGCTAGTCTTGAAAGGGGAGAGATGACTCACATCCTTAAAAACTCTTACCTCTCCAAAGCCACCTTTGCCCAGCACTCGGAACTCAGAGAAGTATTTATCAGTGACTGGTTGCTTCTCAAACACTTTCCATTGGATGAATTTGTCATAGAAGGGGCTGTTCTGGAAGTCCTGGAAAGGCTTGTCTTTAAAGAAGACTTTGGTTTCCTCCTTGGCCAGCTGCACGATGTTCTCATAGTCTTTTGCAGTAGCTGCTTTGCATTTGCTGACCAAGTCAGAGCTCATGAAAGACAGATAGTTTTTGGCGCCTTCCTTAAGAAAATTGGTGACAATATTCTCCATGCTACTGCTCTTGAGATTGTCCTCTGCCAACTCCCAGCTTGACACCTCATCCAGGAAGTCCCTAGCTACCAAATATTCTGGCACTGTCTCTAAGAAGTCTCTGAAGAATTTCTTGCCAATGGGCTGCTGCTCACAGATGCTGTCATAATCACCAGCAACGGACTCTCTATGCTCTTTGCAGTCCTCAATCTTGGGCAATGAGAGGCTCTTACGCCTCTTTTGCATTTCCTTGGTGTCTCCTTCTCCACTCTTCCTTGCCTGGAGGTAGGCAGTGTTGGCAATCAGGTTGTCGAGCCCCCCCATGTCACACATCTTGGCAAGCCCTTGGGGTGGCAGAGCCTGGTTCAGACAAAATGAGTAACTGGCCCAAGAGCTGTGCTGTAGCTGCACTGCACTTCTCCCTGCTAGTGGTGTGTGAGGGCTTCTGAAAAACACCAGGGAAACTAACTGCTTTTGCATTAAATACCTCTCAAGGATTTTCACTAAGTACCTTTAGGTACAGGCACCATTTGTGGAAAGTGACTGGTAAGAGGTTTCTCTGTAAGAAGCTTTGAGTTTGCTATGAATAGCTGAGGGATGACACCCCAGGCAAACCTTCCCACTGGCAGTACCAAACGCACGTGGTTCAGCTGGTGTTTTTCAGAATGGGCCCTGATAACCTTTCAATGTGCCAAGATTTCCTCTGCATGCACCGTCCCTGGCTGCTGGGAACATGCAGAGATTCATGGCTGCAATACATGCACTCTCTCCAACTCAGGGGCACTTTGGCCACAGGCAGCAGGACAGGCCTGGATCTCTCCCGGTCGACATCAACCACCAGCAGACTAACAACTGGTTTTATGAAAAGCTTTTATCACAAATCTGCCATGCCTAAAAGACCTTGACATAAATGAACCACACAATTCAGTGCTTTGAGCATTCACACCTCCAAAGCTCAAGTTGTATTCAACATCAGTGACTGAGCCCCACAGACAGTTCATGCAAGCCCTGCTGCCTCGCGTGGCTCTGTCTGAGCAGATTACATGCAGAGGCTAAGAACTGCCACTGGTCTAAAAATAATGATCCTTATATATGAAACAACATGGCTCTGACTTCATCTCCTACCCACAGAAAAAAGAAAAACACTTCAAATGAACAGCCAAATCTTGCCAAGACACTTCCATATGTTGTTTTGGCCTCAGTTTATTTTCCCTGCTGAGCTTTATGACAGAAAGTGGTTGGATAAGAAGGTGGCAACAACATATAGCTGAGGTGACATCAACAAAGGGACAAAGCTGATTATAATCAAGTGAAGGCAAATTCCACCTGCACTTGCTGGCTGCCTACCAGGAGGCATTTTTTCCCTTCAAAAGAATAAAAATTATGTGTGGCACTTACTAGGCTAAGCTTCCTTCTGCTGTGGGGTCAGGTGGTTTGGGTGTTAAAACTTTCCTTAAATATAAGGAAAGTATTATGAGAACAAGAAAAGAAGTAACACTGGGGTCAAGCTGTGCTCTTGAGGTCAAGGTCAAGTGTCTTTTTCCTTTTTTCACAATCTTAAAGCAAGCTGAAGAGCTGAATCACAAAAACCAAACATCAAGAGTAATAACAGGCACCTTTCAGACTCCCTATAATAAGTGTTAAGCCCTTCTTGGCTGCTTTTTGCCACTCTACAACCATGCAGTGTTTTGTTTTTACATGCTTAATCCTGTCCACACTGAATCCATTTGACATAAAACTCCTGCTTGCACTCTACAGAATTCCTGTGGAGGTGTGTTTTTCTAGGAGTGATGGAGAGGGCCATCCACTGCAAGCTGCTGTGTGTGCATGAGAACAGGGGGAATTGCAAGGAGACACCTGAAAGCCTGGCCAGTTCTGCCCAGGGTGGGAGGTTACATAAAGGGCTCAACAGAGCAGCCACAGCGTGGGCAACACTGCAAGGAGCCAAAGGGAGAAATGGGGAATTCTGCTGCTGGCTGTCCTGAAAATGGGGCCTGCAGCAACACATTCCTTTAATACCCTGGGTAGAGAAAGGCATGAAAGGAGGTAACAAAGCTTTAATTTCAGCTTTTTTTTTTTTAAATAAAGCTTTTAATTTCCTAAAATTCAGTAGAGTCTTTTTTATGTTTGGCCAGAATATCCACCACAGCTCAAAGAGCAGCAGGACAAATAGCTGGTAGCTGGGGCCCTAAGGCTGAACTCAAGCTCACTTCAGCTATTGGTATACTCATGCCTAAGCAAATCAAGACAATTCCTAATGTTTATGGCACCTGCATAAGACAGACACATTTACAGCTCCAAAGACCATTCTATTCAATTAATTAGAATCTTTCCCAGTTTCTATGGAACATAAATTTTCCCTAAAATAACATAACTTCATTAAAAGCAAAATCAAACAATATGATCATTCAACATATACTCCTTACTCCAGTCACTTTTGAGATTTGCTTGCTGACTTATCCAAATCTGCTCAGCGTTTATTAAACACTGGAGAAAAGCAGATCAGCATTAATCTATTAGTTGACAACGGCTATTTAAGGTAGTGTTACCCGCTCATAAAACAGCATGTTTGGGTGAGAAGCAAAAATGATTTATTTTTCATTACAAGAGGTGAACAATTGCAGAACTGAACAGGGGATGTATTGGGACAAACTAACAACCATGCTAATCAGCCATACCAGGGTGTGCTTTGGAGAAGGTCTATGGTGGAGAGCTCATAGAAAGACTGGGACTTAGGCTAATCACTAAATCACAGAGAAAATATGCAGGACTTAAAATTCATTACCTTATGTTCTGGATGAACCTCAATTACTGGTCAACAAGATACTTATAATATGCAAATAGATACACAAAAATATCAGTTGCTTTGATTTCAACATTAACTTTCCTACTACCTCATTTGTGTCAACAGCCCTTTGAGCTGACACTTAGAAAAACTCTTCCACAACTGTAATTCGCAGCTACTCTTGCCATGCACGTGACATCAGCTAAAAGCAGGGTTTGGTACTTTCCACATTCACCTATAAAGCAAAGAAAAATGAATCAAGTCCTCTGATGGGACTAGATGGCATTACCAGAGGTCAGGTGGTAGGTAAGATACAGTTTCACTGTGACAGCTAAAATTTATTTTTATGTCCACTCTGATTTCTTTTTTCAGCAAGAATTTTGGGAATACTTTTTTACACAAACAGAAATACTCCACAACAATGTAAATGCTAGAGGCACTTCATTACTACTGTTAATATATTTGACATTTGTTTTGAGTTTTAAGACAGACATCATCTGGCATAGTAACAACTGATGTGATACAGTGTAACAGTGACTCAGGATTTTTTTATCTCAGTGTGTAATTAAACAAAAGCTACATTTAAAAAAATCACAACATCTTAAAAACCAAGATTACAATATTAAACAAAACCACAGTAAACTCTGCAATATGCTTGATAACACAGATATTGGAACTAGTTTATATAGTGAAGATAAACCTCTTTAAATGTACTTAGAATTAGATAGAAACACATCTACTGAGAAACATATTAAACATTAAAGATGATAATTTTGAAGTAAACAATGCATAATATATTGCTTCAATTTCACCCATATTGATTGACCATTTTATTAAGCCTGAATTTGTTACAGATTGAAAGCAATAATTCTACCTCTCTGTTACATATATTTTAAAAATCCCACAGCATATATTCAGATTCATAATAATTTGGGTATTTAGGGAAAAGACAAAGTTAGAGGCAAGCACTTTAACAGCTGAAAGAAAAAATTCAAAGATGATGATATATTCAGGATTTCCACAAAAATGAAAAACGCTTCCAAAACACTATGACCAATAAAAAGATAATAAAGAAATTTCTATTAACCAAATTCTCATGAAATCACAATTTACCATTTTTCCCTAGATTTAATTAATGCCTCTTTTTCTTGGGTTATTTAAATTATCACTTTTGTTTGTTTCCTATATTAATTGGCTAACCAGCATGATTGTCTACACCTCTAGTTAACTGATATCAAATACATGGCTTTGTACAAAAAATCTTTGGATTGAAAATACATGTCTCCATGATCACTAACAGAAATACAAAAAAAAAAATTAATTAACATGTTTAAATTTTAATGTTATGGTTGTAGAAATCATGTATAGAATATAACAGAGCAACACATGCAGAGATACAAGAAAACGAAAGTCATAAAGAAACCCTAAATTAGAAATGTTTAATAGAGTGTCATGGAAAAAGCACATAGCAAATGTTTTACACACTGTCAATTTTAGATTAAAACTCAGAATAGTTTCTTAAAAAACACACTGACTGTGTTTTTGCTTACAATAGTATTTAGGAAACATTTGCTTTATCCTGGCAGTAAACTATGCAGTGTATCAGACCAGGTAAGGTGACCCTTTCAATTTAATTCATTTATCAATGGAAAAAGATTAAATGTTTAGGGTATAATCTGCACCACTAAGTTTCTATGCTCTGATCTGAGAGAACACTCTAACCATAGCAGATACATTTGTTGAAGTAGCATCTCCTGTTTGAATTGTGAACCCCTGCAGTGAGCCTGCCCATGGCCTGCACCTTGAGCAGCCAGAGGCCTGCACCAAACCCACCCTGCTCTTGGAGCAAGCAAACCCAGTCATGTCCTGATGGACACCTTCTGTTCTGCATCAGCATAGGGTATAACACACACACCATTCCAGTAAGTGCAACAGAAAGAAATCCTTCCAGATTTTATTTGCCTATTCTCTGGACTACCCAGTCCTGCTGGCAGAGGGGACAGCGATTATTCTGTTTCACCCACAAGGACATGCAGCAATTGTGGAAGGAATGATTGCACTCTCCCCAAACCACTGAAAGAGAAGAAAGAACATATTCCAGTCACACTCAGCTGTTCAAGCAACTCCTACAGCAAGATTCAAACTACCACTCTCAAATTTATAACCACTGGAAACTTCAGACAAAACAGGTCATCACTGATTTATCCACTGAGATTGGATTACTATGATCATTCTGATGATAGTGAGTTCCACCATCAAGCCTTTTACTTCCTTTCAAATATTAAAAAAAGAAATGCATATATTCTCACCTTCTTGTATAAAGTGACCAGGTTTTGTGCTGTTTAAGCACATTTAGGGATGTGTTCTGCCCAGGAAATAAGTGCAACTATTCAAGTTTTTCCCTTTATCTTCCCCAGTACCAACATAAAGGCCAATGCACCACTGACTCACTATCACACAAGAGCATATCACCAGATTCTCATATGAAAGGCACTGTTTGAACTGAAATTTATGATAGCAGGGAGGCACGTGTCACACAGTATATAGTCTGAAAATGGGACTTTACAACATGAGTTATTCGCAGGCTACAGTTGTTCCAACACTACAAAAATTGGTTTTTGTTATCCATTTACTCCTGAATAATGTTTTAGAACTTTGCTTTTTTGACTTATTAGCTCACGTTTTCCTCACAAGAGCACAAGGGTACCAATCAAAGGAGTGCTGTAAATTATACTTTTTCCTGTCTATCTTAAATACTTAGCAAGCCAATTAAGATATCTTGAACAGGAATACCCTATTCACATTAAAACAATCATCAAAAAACCCCAGTGGTTCTTTTTAAGAGAATACACTTCAAAATACAAAGCTCAACAGCATGGAAAGGTTTACCACTGCTTTAAAAGTTGTCTTAAAGGTTTAAAGCAAATTCTTTGAGATAATTTTCACTATTTCCAATTTAAACACTCAGAATTAAGACCTTCTTTTGCATACATTGGCACTGAAAGTATGATCATGCTTAAACTGAAGTGATTCCACTTTTGAAAATGAAAAGTGAACGACGAAGTCATTGCCTCCATTATCTCTGAATTATGAGTGGGAAAAATACCACTTTCTATCTCAGACACACATTTATTTCAGAACAGAGGATTTTTATTTGTACTACCACTGTGCTTTCTGGCATGCACCTCTGAAGAAAAAGGCAGCTTTTTCCTACCCACTTCAAAAATGTACATTATGATCTCAAATATGCTCACAATGAAAGAAACCTAAACCTCTTAGTTGTGTATGTGTTGACAGGAAATTGGAAGCTGTTTTGTTTTACAGCACAGCTGATATGAAAACTGATTTTTTTTAATGCTCAAAAATAAGCATAAAGTATTACTAATGTAGAAAGATGATACAATGTAGAACAAAACACCAGTTTACTTTTGAGCATTAATAAAATCAGTATTCCCTTCAAACCTTAAAATGCACCATACTGAGAGAAGCTTCAATTGAAAAACAAGCGAATGAAGTCACTACATACCAACACAATCTTCTTGTTTGTTTTCAGCTTGACATCTAAGACAGGCATCTAAAAGTAAACAAGAACAAACTCAATTTGATTCTCAGGATTCCATCTTAAGAATAGGTTTGTCAGAGGAAAATATAAACTCTAATACAAATTTACAGAAGTAAAAATCTCAAGTTTTGATGTCTAGTTCAGCTCTTTAACAATAAATAGCCCCCTTCAATTCTAAAACTGTGCAAATGACAATGAAATATATATCTGAAAGAGATCAGAAGGACTCTGAACTCTCCAGCATGTTTTGTTTATTTTCCATTGCTTTGGTATTTTCATAACTTTTGCTGAAAAAAAGCCTTCTCCATTTTGTAGATATAAAAGCCCGCAGATTTGTGCCAAGGCACTCAGGCATATTAAGACCAGAGCAAGCACAAAGCCAAACCCTAATTACAGGACTTTGTTTTTCAGATGTCAGCATTTCCTTTTAAGGAAGTCATTCACAATTTTGATTTTTTAGGCTGTGCATCTCTCATCACACCTCCCACCACCTACTACTTTTTATAGTAGCTTCCCTTAACAAGTACCTGCATCTAATTTTCACAGGAGTCACAAACACACGAATATAGTAGTACATTTGATAATATATGTTAATAAATACAGAACGATATCTCTTTAAAAATATTTATCATCTTTATGCATTCCAGTCTGTGGCTTTAGGATTGGATGGCAGCTCCAGGACTCAGTAAGACACAAGAGTGACAACTTCCAGGCTTCCCACTGTGCCACACAATACAGTGGAAAAACACCTTTGCTTCTCCTTTGCCCCAACATGGGCTGCCACAGACACAAGTGCACGTATCCCCACAACAGAAAGTGTTCAACTGTTACGTGAGCAAACACATCTTCACCTCCTCCAAAGAAAAGGAACTAGTTTAAACAAGAGTCCTGCAGGTTGGATCTGGCTTACATGTCACTGTTTGGACCATATTCTCCCAGAAGACAAAACTATAATGTACTACAGAAATTAAGAATTGAGTATTTTTGTAGTCTCTGACAGATAGGGCCAGTATTTCTATTTTAGATTGATCTGCCCAGACATCACTCCTTTTCTCAGGTAACAGAGAACAAAGAAGACAGAACTCTAAAACAGCTGCCCTTTCTTCACTGAGATAAAAGCAAAACTTTCCTGTTGTCTGTCCCTATAATTTATATTTCAACAGCAGTTAAGGGCCAAGGTGCTGGGAAGATTCAGCTGAAGTGATTCAGCTGAAGTGCTTCAGCTTGTACCATGCTGTGTGGGAGCCCAGTGATCTGGGGTCACAGCAGAAAGTCACAATAAATCAGCTGCCCTATGGAGCCCTAGAGCTGCAGTTTTCAGCACAGAGAGCCAAGGCCAGAAATCACTGCCACCACACCAAAGTAACCTGTCCCCACTCCTACATCATAACCCCACGGGGGTCAGACTGAAATAAGGACAGCAAGGCCAGTCCAGCTGCAATCCTGCGCTTCCCAGCTAACACCTGCATTTTTCTCTCTTTCCCTTGTGCATCTAAAGCCACATTGGTTCAAGGAGTTAAAGCAGAAATGGAGCCAGCTAAACACCTCCTTCCCTGCAAAAGTCAAACCAACCTTCAACAAGTGCCAGTCTCAGCCTGGCACTGCCTCCCACCTGAGGTTACTGCAGACGCAGTGGCTCTACAGGAGCCAGACCCGCTCTGGCAGGGTCAGTGCGAAATTGCTAAACTGAAGTCAGAAATGATCAAGTTTCACATTCTAACAATGTGGTTTGTTCCCAAAAAACGGTTACTAGATTTTTTCAGGTTTTTTCTAGTTTCAGATTAAAAGTACTCCCTTGGTCTAGCTATGAAAAAATACGACTTTTTTTTTTTCTTTAACTTTTATAATAGCTCTGGGTAGGATTTTGTTAATTTACGATTTTTTTTTTAATAGTGTCCTGTAACAGCCTAGCTTACAATGGGAATAAATACGTTTTTTAAATTATGGTTTACACAGAAAATGAAGCCAATTTCATATTTCCAGAGTGGTCTCTGTTTACCATAAAAAAGCAAATAATCTTCAAAACACGCTTATGTAAAAGATCAATTTCCTACCACTTCAGCCTGCGCTTCCCCTTTTTTCCTCTTGTACACCCTTTTGCCTCCTCTGTTCCACAGAAGCTTCCCAGCAAAAACATTTATGAGAAGTGACAGAATTGCTTATTTTGCCTCATTTCTGTCAAATCAAATGCTGACTTCATTTCAGTATCATGGTTCCTGGCCCTACAAAAGCAAGGTGCTCTGGAGGGGATCTTGGGTCCTTTTTGGTGCCGAAGCGTTGCACACCCAGGTGAGAGGACACTTACACTGAGGATGACTCAGCCCAAGAGTAAAAATGGGATATGTACACACAGGAAAGGAAGAATTTAAACAGTTTTCGAAGAACCAAGATAAATACCATACTTAACAAAGATGTCAGAAAACAGTAATATGAGTCAACAATGAAGGTGCTTTCGATCAGTCTCTGGATTTCAAAACCAAGTAAATTAACCCCTTACTCAATAGATTTCTCAGTACATTTTATTAAACTGCACCAGTTATCACGCTTGTAAAGACTGTGTAAAACACCTGGTTTAACATATTTGAAAAATGAATTTAGATGTACATCCGTAACTGGTTCGTAAAAAAAACCTTAATAAAAACCCCTTAACAAAACCCATCCCATGAACAGCAGCCCCACGCATGCAGCAGCACTCGGTTCAGCCCGGCTGTGAATAGGCGCTTGCGGGATTTGCCCTCAGACGAGCACCAGCCCTCACGACGAGGGCGGCCCTGCACTGACGGGCCCGTCACGGAGCAGCCCAGCGGGGCCCAGGCCCAGCGTGAGGCGCGCAGGGAGCGCGGCCCGGCCGGCCAGGGGAGCACTCGCCGTCCGACGGGGCCGCGTGCGGCCCCTGGAGCGCGGCGGCCCGGCCCCCGCGGGGCCCTCCTCCTTCTCCTCCTCCTCCGGGAAGGCGCGGAGGAGGAAGCGGAGGCGGGAGGGATCAGCCCCCCCGTCTGCCGGAAACCGCGTCTCTGCCCTGCGCCCGCCGTGCCCGGGCCGGCGGGCACGGCCCCAGGCCCGGCCCAGGCCCCCCGCCCTGCGGCCATGGCGGCCCGGCCGGCGCTTACCCATGACCTGCACCCTGCAAATGGCGCAGGTGTCGCACTCCACGTCCCAGCTCCACATGGCCACCGCGTTCCACTTCTTCAGCGAGAACATCTTGTCGGGGGCGCCCGCCTTGGAGCCCGCGGAGCCCGACAGCGAGTGGGGGGCGCCGGGCTCGTCCCCGTCCTCCACATCGGCCATGGCGGAGGGGCGGGGACGCGGCGGCCGCGCGGGCGGCAGCGCCACCCTCCGGCGGCAGCGGCAGCAGCGCAGCCCCGCCCGCGGCGCGGGCAGCGGCACCGGCCCGGAGGCGGCGCGGGAAGGGCCCGCGGGGCGAGGAGCCCCTGCCAGGACCCCGAACGCCTTCACAGAGCCTTCAAACACTTCTTATGTTTCAGCAGCACACCTGGGAGGTGCTAAGCTGGCGTTGCTCATGAAGGATGTTCTCGTATGCAGCGTGCACGTGAACCAATCGCAACTTCACCAATGGCCTAGGCTGCCTCGAGAATGGGGAGACACTCCAATCCTCCAAATCAACACATTTCCTAAGACTGCTCACTGAATAAGCAAAACAGTTCAGCAGTGGCGTGCTGTTTGGGCACCTTGGTAATAAAGTAAAAAATAAAATTATATTAACGATTCTATGTACATTACTCAGCTATCAATTCAGAAGCACCTTGAACACTATTAAAGAGCATGTGAATAAGATCTTTTTCGCTTGGCTGATTCACGTTTCTCTCAATCCACACTCTTCAATTCCCTTTGCCAGCTCCACTTCTTTAACTCATCATTCTTTTCCGTCCATTTAAAAAATCATCGTGGCACTTCCAAATTACTGGGGCTAGATGTAACCAAGAAAGTTAAAATATTTTCTAAAAAAATTAAGTACATTTAATTTCTGCTACGTAAAATGTCTTCTATCTCTAAATAAAGATTAAAAAAAGAAAAAAAAAAAGAAAATTCTGTTGAAATTTTGGGGTTCTTAGATTTATACAATTTGCCTTGTATCCCTGACACAATTCTTCAGTTCTAAGAGCAAACGATGACAGAGATTATAATTGTGTTTGAGTGCTGTCAAACCATCACATGTGCTGTACATGATGCAAAGTCAAATATAAACCACACTTACATTAGCAGTGAAAGTAGAGCAAATATGACACAGGCACTTTTGACTCTGTCCATACTGCCTTACAGAAATAAAGTGATAGCTTCCCACCTAAAAATTATTTTCTTGCCATTTTATCAGCTAAAGAGCTGTGTAAGAAAAATTCCAAGCCATTTTTGAGAAGTAGTTCTGGCAGTCTGTAATTCATCTGTCCTCTGCAGCCACACATGACATTAAGGAGGTGACACATGGGAGAGTGGCACAAACCCACAACAGCTCTTGCAGAGGGTTTCCCTATGTACCTTGTTACTGGTTTTAATTGTAAATAAAAACCACATTTTTCAGACTGGGTGTTTGCTCATCTCATTCACTGAAAACATTCCAAATTGAATATCTAAAAATGAGAACTCAAACCAAGTTCCTTTTGGCCCATCAAGGGACTGTTCAGCTAGAATTAAAGCCAATTGTGTGCTGCAGAATGGGGTAAAAAGAACACAAGGCCTGTGAGGAACCACTGAGGGAGCTGGGGGTGCTCAGCCTGGAGAAAAGGAGAGGCAGGGGTCTCCTTATCACTCTCTACACCTTCCTGAAAGGTGCTGTAGGAGGTGGGGGTTGGTTAGGGCATGGGTTGGACTCGATGATCTTGAAGGAATCTTCCAACCTAGTGATTCTGAGATTCTTTGACATCTGGGGTCAATTCTGGTGGCTTCTGCCCCCACCATCAATTAGGTTTCTCTCTTTATACCCAAGTCCTGTATGTAACCCCCATTCATTCAGTTAAATGCTACCATTTTAAACAGCCAGGCCTCACAGGAAACACACAGCTTATCTCAGGTTTGTTGTCATTTATTTCTGAGTTATTCTCAAGCAATGTTACAAAACATTTTAATGTCTTGATAAGAAAATAAAATTTAAATAAAAATACATTCAACAATACATCATCATAATAACATTAAAACTTTTACAATCCTAACAGAACTAATTACTGAATAACATCACTTTTCTAGACTAATCAAAATGAATGCAACTTTTATTATTAATCATTCTACTTGTACCTAATTAAATTCTAGAACATCTACTGTACTTTAAAACATTATAAAATGAGAAATCAAATCTTAATGGTCACAAATATTCAATGGCCTTCTGGGTTTTTTTTTTCTCAATATTCCAGTACCAAAGCAAAAAAAAAAAAAAAAAAGTGCATATTATAAAACCCCAACATTGCAAGAGTATACTACTCAACTTTTCATAAATTTTAATTTGAAAACAACAGAAAATGGCTCCAAGGAAGAGGGTTTGCCACAGGGTTAATTCATATACAACAAACCCTAATTCTGACCCTCAACCACATTCAACTTTGTTTAATGGCAGTTTTTGATCAATGGCAATTTATCTTTACCTTGGCAAAACACATGTATTTGCATTGCTGTATTCTCCCTCACTTTTAACTGTTGGCAAATAAAAGTCCCGTTGACCACATCAAATGTGTGAAAAAAGGAAAACACAAAACCAGCTGAGGAGATGAAATGATTGTGATGTTGCTGGTCCTAGTACTGAATCCCAGATATTCTAAAATATCTTGGTATTAAAATGAAGTCATTTTAACAAGTTACATTCATTCCAAAGAAATTTCAATCCTGTCTTGCCACCTTGCTTCCATTACAGAAAGCTTTCTTACAACAGTATAATAAATGTGTGGTAATTCCAACACCTTACTGTTTCAAGCATTGTGGATTTCTAGTCTAAGTTACATTCCTAATTAATTTGGCCAAATCGTGACTGGAAAAACAAACAAAACCAAAACTAAAAAATACCCCACAAAACAACAAAAGACCCCACAGAAAATGCTTTAAAAATAAAAGTACCACATACAACTTTTATTAAAAATAATATTCCAAGGAGTACCATTGTATTTAATACTGATGAAGCAAAGTTGCCACCTAATACCTTTGCTTCTTCCTGGTTATATACATATACTTTTTCTCAGCAGAAAACTAACTTCTCAGACAAAGTGAGCAAAAATTAATCTTACTGAAGTCAGGAATGCCAGTTTAAAATTGTGTTAAGTGGCAAATACGAATCTATGTAACTAAAGATACAAAAATATTCACTGAAGCATTGTTTAAAGACAAAAAAATGTTGATCATTCAACTGATCATAACAAGCAGATACTACAAAGTATCTAAAAATAATCTGGGATAGTCCAGATATCTAAAGTGCTTTGAGTGACTATAATAGAGATTATTTATTAGATTTGTAGTCAAAAGTTGAGCTGGATGTAGTTATTACTTTTTATAAAAAGAAGAAGTTAAATCATACATGGGATGATGTTAATTGATCAGTACTTAACCACAATCTGTTCACACTTAAATTTTTCTATCTGAAGGCAAACGTATTTAACAAGAATGTTACTACCCTGCATTTCTTTTCAGATTAAGTAAAAATATGTACCTTAAAAAATGCTAAAGAAAATAGATAGTGGTCTAATGTCACTCCATATATTACTCACTCCAAATGTAAACGAGGTACAACGTAAGTTCCCTGATTTCTTCTTTAGTACTTAATAACTCAACTAACACTGGTATTTGCTGTCCAGATTATTTGCAGCATACTGCATGGTTCTGTAGAACTTCAACTGGAGATAAATCAAGTCCTGATAACACCTAATACAAGGAAAAAAAAAGTCAAATGCATTGAGTGTGAAGCTTCAGATCTTTTCCACATCATAAGATCTTGGGATTTCTATTTCGAGATCCGTGTCAGCAGGGCAGGCACTCATGGTAAACTCATGCAAGTTTGCAGTGTATGTACTGAGATGTAATCCAACCAACAAATGCAGTGTGGATTTTCTTCCATGAAAAAGCTTATTTGTTTAGAAAGTTCTTTCCAATAAGAAAACAATGGCAAAACAACCTTCAGATTTATTCACATCTGTTATTTCAAGAACCTGGAACTTCAAGTTCTTCAGCAAAATGAGAATAAACCTTAAAAACTGGATTTCCAAGAAGGTATTTTTCTTTTAAATATTAAATAGATTGTCAACACAACTAGTATTTATGTTCATTCTTAAATATTTTGCAAAAATGCATATAATGAATTTAAAAAAAGAAAACAAACAAAAAACCAAAACACTACAACATTTCCAGTTTCTTTTTTCATCCAAGTGGGCCAGTTTGTTTTGATTAGGAAACTTTTCCAACAATCGGATTTTCTCTGCAAAAAACCAAAATATTATATGTAAATACTTTTAAGATTAACATTTGCTTTCTAGTTCTCATCATGCAATTTTAATTTATCAAGCAGTAAAATCCCAATTTCTACCATTAATTGTAAAATTTAGTGATTTGCAAAAACCTCATTTACTTTCACATGGGACTTCTAAATCACAGTAAATTTTTCTGAACAACTTGGGTCAAACACTAACCTAAGCAAACCAAATCAGGGTTTGAGCTTTTCTATTTTTCCTGGTCAATCAATCCTTAGTGATAAAAAGGAGAAATCTAAAAACTTGCTAGTGGTGCTCCAGAGGCATAAGCCAGGATTAAAGAGAACTAAAGAATGTGCTCTGGAACAACAATGTACTCCAAAGAACAGTTTTTTACCTTCACAAGAAATAGTATTTATCATCAAGTATGACAAGTAAAATACAAACAGTAAATATGCTACCTAAAAGATATGTTCCTGCCAAAAAGTAAAATTTTGAGAGTTTGCTATAACTTGGTACTTCTGCACTACTACAAATGATGTACCTTATTCTCTCCATGTCTGTGTTGTCTAACTCTACCTTCATTATCTCTACCCCAACAAGTCTGGCCTCACCCCATGATTTATTTTTTTCAAAATACACATTTATCAATGTCCAAGTTAAACAAGATACTTACTCACTACCATATTTGGCACTAGATGATCTCTTCTTCTGGTATTTTTCATGTGATTCGTCCAGCTTTTCTACTATATCTATTATCTGCTGAAGTGTATGGAAAGTGGCTACAGAATCTTCTATGGTGAAGTTAGAATAATCATCTGGTTCTTTCCGAGGACCTTGATAGACTGCTATACTTCCACAAGCCTCTGCAAAAACCACCACAATCATCTCCTTTAGAAT